TTAGTCATTACCACCTTCATGTGGCCTACTGACAGGTAAAATTGGCCAGTCCTGATTTCGCCAAAATTATTGTTTGCAACATTCCTAACTGTCTAAGGAAATAAAAATGGAATGTAGATAAATGGCTTTGGTTCGAAAAATAACGCATTTTGAAGTTTGTACGACGGACACATACACACATGTACGCGCGCGCACACACACACACACACACAAACACACACACACACACACACACACACACACACACACACACACACACACACACACACACACACACACACACACACACACACACACACACACGAAAGCAAACAAACAAAAAAACAAACGAACAAACAAACACAATCCTCCCCTCCCATCACCCCTCCCCCCTTTCTCCCTACTCCCATAAAACTCTTTTAATATGATTTTTTTTATTTCTTTTTTACAGTCACAAGTCTTCACGCTGACTAACTTGTCTTCGGTGCGGAGAAGACAGGATCTAGGACCCAATGGCGTGGACGATATGATCAGCCTGTCGTAAGTTTCCAGAAAATAAATATTGAGTTTAAAATTGTTTTTTATTTTTATTTTTTTTTTATTATTATTATTATTTTTTAAGGAGTATGGTTTGTGTGTTTTTTTTTTGTTATTTTTTTTTCATTTGTTTTAATTTCTTTTTTGTTTTTGTTTTTCTTTTATTTTTAGGGAGTATAATTTCTCTGCTGATTTTTTTTTTTTTTTATGGTGAGTTCATGTGTTAATGCGATATATATTTGATGAGTTGTAAGAAAAAACGAAAAAACTGGGTTAGAAATAAAGAAATAATAGTGAGATGCTTCATTTTGAACACTTTTTGAGACTGAAACAATACAAACAAATAAAAAAAAAACATTAATATTTCGAGTAAACACAAACAAACAAAAACAAAGCTAGGTGACCTATATATATATATATATATATATATATATATATATATATATATATATATATATATATATATATATGTATATAAATCTTCAAAGTGATTCATTACCGTTTCGACCATTTTTTCTTTTTTTTCGAAACGGACTGAACCACACTCGTCCGATAGCACACTAACCCAATATTTATGAATGTGAAATGCCGTACGTTTCAATTATTCTGACCGCAAGAGGGGAGTCTGGAACTTCCTCTTCAACCCCCTCCCCCCCCTACCCCTTCTTCTCCCTCCCTCCCCCCTCCCTAAATAAATAAATGAATTATTAAATAGACAAAAAATAGAGAGAGAGATATGCAACGCTGATACCCGGATGAGAGGAATGTACTTTAAGACGGACGTTGAACAACACAACGCCTCTGAACAACCCGGAACAACACTGAACGCCACTGAACAAAACAACACAGAACGCCCCTGAACGCCACTGAAAAACACTGAACGCTACTAAACGCCTCTGAACTACACAGAACGCCCGTGAACGCCACTAAACGTCCCTGAACAACATAGAAAACCCCTTAACGGCTGAACAACATGGAACACTCCTGAACGCCACTTGAACAACACTGAACGCCACTAAACGTCCCTGAACAACATAGAACACCCCTGAACACCTGAACAATACAGAACACCCCTGAACGCCACTGAACAACACTGAACGCCACTTGAGCACGCGCTGAACACACACGCTTCTTGCGGTCGAATACGGCCAGGTCGACCTCCCCCACCCCCCACCCCCCTTCTTTGTTGCTGTTGCTGTTGTTGCTGACTAATGTTACGTCGCTAATTGTTCTCGTTGATGATATTTGGTTGAGTGCTGGTGTCCGAGACGGCGCGGGGGGAGGGGGGAAGGGGAGAGGGGAGGGAGAGGGAGAGGGAGGGAGAAGTAGGAAGAGGGAGAGGCAAAGGGAGGGAGGAAGGGAGGGATAGAGGGGATGAAGAAGAGAGAAAAGGAAGGAGAGAGACGGAGGGTGAGAAAGGAAAGGAGAAGAGAAAAAGGGAAGGAAAGGAACAAAAAGGAGAAGAAAGAGAAGGGAAGGAACGCAAAGGAGAGAAAAGGAAATGAAAGGAAGAGAAGGGGAAGAAGGAATGGAAAGGAGAGGAAATGAGAGGAAGGGAAAGGAAGGAAGCCGCTAAGGTGCCTGGGAGTGCATTCGCAAGCACAGGTAGCGGTACATGGGTGGTTGAGGGGGGGGGGGGGGGTTCGTGCTTGTGTTTGAACGCTTTTTTGTGTTAGTTTTTTTGTTGCTGTTGTTGTTTCTTTTCCTTTTTTATGTCTGTCTCTATCTCTTTTTCTTTCGGTCTCTCTCTCTCTCTTTCTTCGGTCTCTCTCTCTCTCTCTCTCTCTCTCTCTCTCTCTCTCTCTCTCTCTCTCTCTCTCTCTCTCTCTCTCTCTCTCTCTCTCTCTCTTTCTTTTTCTCTCTTTCTTTCTCTCTTTCTCTCTTTCTCTCTTTCTCTCTTTCTTAATTTTGCACTCGCACACGCACACACACAATCTCCTCCACCGAATCCACACACACGCACACACAACCTGCATCTCCGTCTCCCGTGCACACAGTACCAGCTGGTAACAAGACCGGATTAACACAAGGTACGTGAGGAATGCACACACACACACACACACACACACACACACACACACACACACACACACACACACACACACACACACACACACACACACACACACACCGCAATTTCCAGCAGGTTTTTATCCTAGTGGGAGTCGTGGGGGGAGGGTTGTGGGGGGGAGGGGGTGTATGACCCTTCCCCCCCTTCCCTCTCGTCCTCCTCTCTCTTATCACTTCCTTTCTCTCTTTTTCTTTATTTTTGGTGTTTTTTTTTCTCTTCCTGTTTTTTTTTTCTTTGCTCTTTCTATCTGTTCTTGTCTCGTTTCAGTTTGTTTATCTTCTGTTCTTTCTCTTCGTTGTCTTTTACTTCCTTGTTCTTCCTTCCCTTTTTTTTCCTCCTCTTCTCTCACTTCACACGGTCTCCCTCTCCCTGTCCTCTACTCTTCCCTTCTCTTTCCCTTCCGCCTTCTCCTCTCCCCCTATCTTCTTCCCTTCCCTCCTCCCCCTGACCCTGTTGTCTTCCCTCCCCCCTCTCCCCTCCTCCCCCTTCCCCCCATTCTCTTCTCTCCTCCCCTCTCCCTATGTGCTTTCCTCCCCCTCCCCCTATTCTCTCCTCTTCCCTTCTCTCCCCTATCTCCTCCGCTCTCCCCTTCCTCCCCTCTCTCCTCTCCTCCCCCTCCCCCCTCTCCTTCCTCTCCCCCCTTCCTCCTCTCCCCCTCTCCCCTTCTTTCCCTTCCTCTCCCCCTCCTCCCCTCTCCCCCCTCCCTCCTCCCCTCTCCCCCTATCCTCTCCTTTCCCCTCCCCCCTCCCCCTCCCCCTCCCCCTCCCCCTCCCCCCCTCCCCCCTCCCCCCTTAGTTCCGGCCCGTTAACGCGGTGAGGTCAGACAGGCCAGACTACATAATGCGCTTTATTCTCTTAAAATAAAAGCGATTTTTACACGTGTTCTTAAGAATGTTACGGAACTTCATTAGAATATTTCAACCTCGAATTGTGAATTTAGAGAGAGATGGTTGTAGTTCTCTTGTGTGTTTCCTCTTTGTTTATTTGTTTGTTTGTTTGTTTGTTTTGTTTTTGTTTTTTTGTTGTATTCGTACTTTTTTTTCGTTTCTACTTTTTGAATTGTTATTTTTCCACTTTTATTTCCTTCTTTTTTTTCTCTTTCTTTCATTTCGGTTTATTTCCTTTCTTCTCTTTGTATATTCTCTTACGTTCCGCACAATTCTCATGATCATCACAATTGCGTTTACCTGTTGTGTTTTCCCTGTAGATTTATTCACCTGTTTGTAGTGGCTTTTCTTTATTACATTTTCTGTAGTTACTTATTAGTTACTATCTCTCTTCTTGTACTCCTCAATCCTTCTCTCTATGTTTCTCTCTCTCTCTTTCTCGTTCTCTTTTTTCTTCCTTCTCCTTTTCCTATTCCTTCTCCTTTCCTCTCCCTGATCATCTTTCTCTCTTTCTCCTCCTCCTTCTCCTCCTTCTCCTTCTTCCTTCCTCTCCCTAACCATGTCTCTCTCTCTCTCTCTCTCTCTCTCTCTCTCTCTCTCTCTCTCTCTCTCTCTCTCTCTCTCTCTCTCTCTCTCTCTCTCTCTCTCTCTCTCTCTCTCTCTCTCATTCATCGCATGAATATGCTAATGACGTTATTGTTGTTATTATTATTGTTTTGTCTAATAAACTTATTTTTATTTACCTTAACGGGTTTGTTAGTTTGTTTGTTTTCTTGTCAGATTGTTCTTTGTTCTAGTTTTGATTTTGTGATTAGTAAAATCTGTATTTTTTTTATTTATTTAGTATTACATAAACCCACACATTTCTTTTTCTTGTTTATTTTTCTGTTATTTTCTTTTTTCTTTTCGTTTCTTTTCTTTCCTTTTCTCTTCTCTTTTTCATCGGTTTCGCTTCCCAAGCCACGCCTCCCCAAACGCCTTTTCGAGACCACGCCCCCTTTTTCGCCACCTTTTTCCGTGACCTTCGCGCTCGAGGCGTTGGACTGAAAACCTCGCCGTGAGTCGCGCGAGATAGCTGTAATCCGGCGCGCGATTGTTTCGTGGAGGGGAGGGAAGGGGGGAAGTGGGGAGGGGAGGGGGGGAGAAAGAGGGAAGGGAGGGGAGGGGGAAGTGGGAGGGAAAAGGGAAGGGGGAATGGAGGGGAGAGGAAGGAAAACGGGAAAGGGTTAGGGAGGGAGAGGGGAAATGGGGAAGGGGGAATGGAGGGGGAGGGGAAGGGGAAAGGGGGAATGGGAGGGGAAAAGGGAAGGGGGAAGGGAGGGCAAAGGGAAGGGGGAAGGGAGGGAGAGGGAAAAGAGGAAGGGGGAAGGGGAAAGGGGGAGGGGAAGGGAGAGGGAGGAGAAAAGGAGAGGGAAAGGGGGGAAAGGGAAGGGAAGGGAGGGGAAAGGGAAAGGGGAGGGTAGATGAAGAGAGAGAAGGAGGTGGAAAGGGTGGGGAGGTAAGGAAAAGGGAGAAAGGGAGGGGAGGAAAAGGAAGGGGATGGGAGGAAACGGAGTGGAAGAGGAAGAGCGGAAAGTCAACGGAAAGGAAGGAAAAGAGAAAGAGAAAGAGACGGAAGCAACATGCAAGTACGAGCAACATTTCACGAAATGCAACGCAGCTCCCTCCTCCCCCCCTCCCCTCCTTTCAACATTCTCGGCTTCGGTCCTTGATTTACGGTTTTTGGCGCCGACATTGTTGATGATTCCTGAAGCGAGGATCGAGCAGCAGGTGCTTCCTCTCGCCGGTGCTTCTCCGTAATGCATCGCGCGCTCGGCGTGGCGGCCATTTCGCTTTATATACAGACATACGAATACGCTCATGCACATGCATATGCACATGGGCATGAACATGCACACACACACACACACACACACACACACACACACACACACACACACACACACACACACACACACACACACACACACACACACACACACACACACACACAAAACACACAAACATGCATACACACTTTAGTAGTCAAACATAAAATATATATACGACAGTTATATCACTTATATCAGTATTAAGTAACACTAAGGTATATTTTCACTCTTGTTTACATCCCGATTTAAATATTTTATTTTATATTATAAGATTATGTTTTGGATCAATTTGATTTCAGGTTTTAAGGTGATATTAACCCATTATTTTTAAAGATATATTGTGGTGTCATATTAATGCGTCATTGCACGAAAAAACAATACGGGAAGAAATGAGATGATGAAATAAGGAACAAACGGAGAATAATAAATATGGTGGATGAGATACAACTTCCAGGAGATCTGAAGGAATGCAGGAAATCCGATGATGATACGTAGTTTTATTTTTATTTATTTATTTATTTATTCTTATTTATTTTATTTATTTATTTATTTTTTTTTTGTCATAAACGATATAACGTGAATCTTGAGTCACGTGCCGACAAGACTGAATGAAATTAAAATGATACAATTAATACAATACATGAAAACAGTTCATCTTTTCATCTTGGCTCAAACGCTGGAATAAAAATAATATAATACAACACATAATAACTCATAAGACAAAAAAAAAAATACAATCATCAGTACAAAACGCACCAAAAGACTATATGAATATATATTTTTTTTATTGCTTAAATAAACGAAAATTATATCTCTTTCTCCATCTTCCAGGGACCTGAACGAAGCATCGCTGTTATGGAACCTCAAAATCAGATACGACAAAGAAATGATATATGTAAGTATAAGGGGGGGTGTTTGTAAGTATGAGGTGGTATGTGTAAGTATAAGGGGGTATTTGTATGCATGAGGTGATTCGTGTAAGTATGAAGTGATATGTGTAAGTATGAGGTGATATGGGTAAGTATTGAGGTTATGTTTGTAGGTATGAGGTAGTATGTGTAAGTATAAGGGGATATTTGTATGTATGAGGTGATTCGTGTATGTATGAGGTGGTACGTGTAGGTATGAGGTAGTATGTGTAAGTATAAGGGGATATTTGTATGTATGAGGTGATTCGTGTAAGTATGAGGTGGTACGTGTAGGTATGAGGTAGTATGTGTAAGTATAAGGGGATATTTGTATGTATGAGGTGATTCGTGTAAGGATGAGGTGGTATGTGTAAGTATTGAGGTGATTTGTGTAAGTATAACATGATATGTGTAGGTATCAGATGATTTATGCAAATATGTGATATATGTAAGTAGAAGAACAGTGTGTGTATTTTCAGGTAGGTTAGCCACAGCGTAATTTGGGGCTTAAAGACACCGTTATTATCTGTTATTTAGGACTCAAAAAAAGAAGATCATCTGGGAGTGTGATTTGAATGCGGTCGATTAAATGACCGATTTTTTTTTTTTTTTTTTTTTTTTTTTTTTTTTTGAAAATTTGGGTTTGTATGTTACTGTTGATGTTTGTGTGTGTGTCTGTCTCTATCTTTCTTCTCTTCACGTTCTCTCTCTATCTGCCTTTCTCTGTCTCTCTGTCTCTCTCTCTCTCTCTCTCTCTCTCTCTCCCTCCCTCTCTCTCTCTCTCTCTCTCTCTCTCTCTCTCTCTCTCTCTCTCTCTCTCTCTCTCTCTCTCTCTCTTTCTCTCTCTCTCTCTCACTCTCTCACTCTCTCTCTCTCTCTCTCTCTCTCTCTCTCTCTCTCTATATATATATATATATATTCATTCAAATCCACGTCATTTTTTCATAAACAATGAACATTGAATCTAACGACTATGATAAAGATACATAGGTAATAAGCAGTTCAGTTGAAAATCACCTCTTAAGCGAAGTTTAAGTGCAGCCATCTAAAACAAGCCATTTTGAAGGATTGTAAGTTATGGAATAGTAATAGTAATTTGTGACAGGTATTTTGGGTCGTTGGACGAGTATAATAATCGCTGTGTGTCATATTTTTTCTTTTTTCTTTTTTTTTTTCTTATGTTCATCCCCCGTTTTTCTGTGCGTTGTTATTTTTTTTATTAGTTTTCTTCTTTTATCCTCCTCCTCTTTCTTTTACCCCTTCCCTTCCTCCTCCTCCTCCTCCTCCTCCTCCTCCTCCTCCTCCTCCTCCTCCTCCACCCCTCCTCCTCCCTCCCCTTCCCCCTTCCATCCTTCCTCCTTCCTCCTTCCTACCCTTTCCATCCTCCACCCTTTCCTTCCTCCAAATTCATTTCCAACCCCTCCTCCTCATCATCATCATCTTCCTTCCTCTCCCGCAGACCTACACGGGCAGCATCCTGGTGGCCGTCAACCCGTACCGGATGTTCGATATCTACGGGCTGGACATGGTCAAGAAATACGAGGGACAGATTCTCGGCACGCTGCCCCCGTAAGAAAGCTTGTTGTTTGTTGTTGTTGTTTGTTGTTTGTTGTTGTTGTTGTTGTTGTTTGTTATTGATACGATAATATAATCAAATAAGTAGTGCAATTTATTGATACAATTAATACCATGATATATTTGGTACGGTAGTGCAGTTGATACAATGATACAATTAATATAATATTACGGTTGATAAAGTAATGCAATTAATAAAATGCTGTATTACAATTAATACAATAATACAATTGATACAGTAACATGAATTAGGCAATAATAAAATTAATACAATGATATAATAGTAGAGTACAATTATACAATTAATGCAAAAGTACAGTAAAATTATGCAATTAATCATATTATGGTTAATACAATAATATAGTTAATACAATTATATATCTAATAGTACAATTAATATTAGAATCGATATAATTAATACAACAGTACAGTATAATTATGCAATTGATGATAATATGGTTAATACAATAATAGTTAATAGGACAATTGATGTTAGAATTGATATAATTAATACAGTAGTACAATTAATATAATAATACAGTTATTGGTGGTGGTGATAGGTGTATGGATGAATGAAGAACGAATAGCTTAATACGAGAGATGTATTTGGCTTGTTTCGATTACATCTTTGTCAGAAATGCATTTAAATGCGGGCAGATACATCTCTTGTGTTGTGAAGGTGTTCGTTCTCATTAATATATTTGATTAATTATGTTGTTTATGTCGAAGTCTTTTTTTTTTTTTTTGTTATTAGATACTACTACGTAAAATAAATTTTAAGAAATGGAGATGGTAATAATACCTCTTCCCCCTCCCCTTGCCCTTCCCCTTCCCCTCCTCCTCTCTCCCTCTCCCTCCACTTCTTCCCCAAAAATAATAAGAAAAAATCAGTACGGTCTCTTCCTCCCCTCCCTTTCCTTTCCCTTCCTCCTCCTCCTCCTCCTCCCCCTTCCCCTCCCCCTCCCCCTCCCCCTCTCCTTCCCCCTTCCCCCACCTCCACCATTTCCCCCTCACCTTTGTCACCCCCCAAAAATAGTAAACAGATAAATAAATAAATAGATAAATAAATGAATAGATAGACAGATAAATAAATAAAATAAATAAATAAATAAAATAGAATAAATAGATAAATAGATACAATAAATAGATAAATAAGTAAAGTAAAATAAAATAAGATAAACAAATAAATCAATAGATAAATAAAATAAAACAATAGATAAATAAATAAATAAATAGATAAACAAAACAAAAAAAACAAAACAGCAATAATTACCCCCCCCCTAATCCGCAGGCACATCTTCGCCATCGGTTCGGCCGCCTACTCGCGCATGAGCAAGGACAACGTGAACCAGTGCGTGGTGATTTCGGGCGAGTCGGGCGCGGGCAAGACCGAGTCCACGAAGCTGATCATGCAGTACCTGGCGGCGGTCAACAAGTCCCAGAGCAACCTGATCACCGAGCAGATCCTGGAGGCGTCGCCGCTGCTCGAGTCCTTCGGCAACGCCAAGACGATCCGCAACGACAACTCGTCTCGCTTCGGGAAGTACCTCGAGGTCTTCTTCAAGGAGTGAGTTTGCTTGTTTTTTTTTTTTTTTTTTTTTTTTTTTTTTTTTGTGTATATATACATATATATATACATACATATATATATATATATATATATATATATATATATATATATATATATATATATATATATATATTTATATATATATATATTTATATATATATGTATATATATAGGTAAATATACATATTCTATATATATATACATATATGTATATATTTTTTTCTCTTTTTGGGGGGAGGGGGGTCATTTTATTCTTTATACATATACAAGAAAACACACTCACGCACGCACACACACACACACACACACACACACACACACACACACACACACACACACACACACACACACACACACACACACACACACACACACACACACACACAGAGTGATGCGTGGGAGCATTCTTCTGCCATCTTGCAAGCGCTCGTGCAGGGGGAGGTAAACATCGTTAGTGTTCACGAAAGCAGTCATTAGCATAACAGATGAACGAGATCAGTAGATATATCAGCAAGTGGGCTGTTTGCAACGGTAAGAGTCATTAGTGGGCTTGAACTGCTTATCTCCGAGATATTAGCCCGGTTTCCCCTGAGCTGCTGAGGAGAAGGGCAGGCGCTCGACGGCGTGCTAGCGAATTCCAGGTTTATTTAAGCCGAACGATATTCATGTACAGTATTTTTCTCCAAATGCAGGAGAATTATGTATATGTTATATATATATATATATATATATATATATATATATATATATATATATATATATATATATATATATATTCATATATATTCATATATATTCATATTTATATTTATTTGCTCATTTATTTGTACTTATGCAATAATTTATTCCATTTATTCTGTTAATTTTTTACTTATTTAGATATAAGTATTGCATTTCACGCCGAGACCATCTTAATAAACTCTTCTCTCTCCCTCCTCTCCCTCTTTCTGTCCTCTCCCTTCTTCTTCCCTCTTTCTCCCTCCTCCCTTCTCCCTTCTCCGTTCTCCCTCCTCCCTCTCCTCCCATCTCCCTTTTTCTCCCCTCTCCCTCCTCCCTCTTCCTCCCTCCTCTCTCCTATCTCTTTCTCCCTTCTCCCTCCTCCCTCTTTCTCCCTTCTGCCCCTTCCCCTCTCCCCCCCTCCCTCCTCTCTCCCCCTCCCTCCTCTCTCCCTCCCTCCTCTCTCTTTCTCCCTCCTCTCTCCTCCCTCCTCCCTCCTTCCCCTCTCCCTCCTCCTTCCCCTCTCCCTCCTCCCTCTTTTTCCTTCCCCTCTCTTTCTCCCTCCTCCCTCCTCCCTCTTTCTCCCTCCTCCCTCTTTCCCCCTCCTCCCTCTTTCCCCCTCCTCCCTCTTTCTCCCCTCTCCCTCTTTCTCCCCTTCCCCCCTGCCCCTCCCCCTCTCCCCCCTCCAGCGGCGTGATCACGGGCGCCAAAATCACGGAGTACCTGCTGGAGAAGTCGCGCATCGTGACGCAGGCGCCGGAGGAGCGGAATTACCACGTGTTCTACGAGCTGCTCGCCGGCCTCCCGCAGGACAAGAAGGCCAAGTATGGACTCACGACGGCCGATAAATATTTCTACCTCAATCAGGTGAGAGGGAGTTTTTTTTTTTTTTTTTTTTGGAAGTTTATTTTTTGTTTGTTTATTTTAATTTTTATTTTATTTTTTTATTTTTATTTATTTTTTTTTGGGGGGGGGCGTATTTTTGTTGTTGTTTTTTATAGATTGGATATGTACGTCGTTGTTGTTGTTGCTGGTGTTGTGGTATCGATGTTTTTGTTTCAATTAGTGTAGTTTTTTGTTTAAGAAAAAATGGTTGTAAAAAAAAACAAGCCTTCTATACCACTCACAAATTGTAATGATAAAAAATAAAATAAAGTGAATTAAAATTAATACGTACGTAAAAATATAATAAAAATAATACATAAAATACCAATAAATAAATAGATAAATAAGCTAGATTTAATTATTCAAAACAAATTCGTGAGATTGAAATGAAAACGTACATCAAATTCCCTCTTAACTCCCAGCAACAGAGAGAGTCTTACACAATCTCGTCATTTTACAATAGACCTCCTTGAGAAAGAAAAAAAATAGAAAATGGCGAATGTGACGTAAGTGTTTTTCAGCGAAATATCTTCCCTTGTGGCTTGGCGTCGCAGTGGTCGCTTTTATGGCCGCTTGTTAATGGTTATTGGACGTTTATTGCAGTTGGTATTGCGTCGAAAATCACGTTTTGTTTTCCCTTCTCTCTCTCCGAGTTGATTTGTTGTTGTTTTTGTTATGTTACGTTTATTTGTTGTTTTTGTTATGTTAAAATGATATATTTTAAATACCCGTTTTTAACTCTTTCTATTTTGTTGCTTTTTCTTTTTTTATCATATAAAAAATATCGATCTTTCTCTCTGAGTTGTGTTTTGTTTTGTTGTTGTTTTTATTTCATTATATTTTATTACGTCCAATAATTTTTTTCTTTCTCTTTTTTCTTCGAATTGTGTGTTTCTTTTCTGTTTTTTTTCTGTTAATTTCTTTTACTGTAATTTACGTGAATTTATTCAGATTATTCAATTTTCATTTGTTATTTTCATATGGATATTGTCTTTCTTTTCGTTCTCCTTTCCTTCTATCCTTTTCTTTTCCTCTTCTGTCTGGTCCTCTCCTATTCTTTCCCTTCCCTCTCCCTCGTCTCCTCTCCTCTCTCCTATCCCTCATTCACCTCCTAACGCCTAACTCCTGCGTTTTCTTTTCCTTCTCCATTCCATCTCCTATCCTCCCCTTTCCTTTACCTATCCTTTTGTCCTTTCTCTTCCCACATCTATTTTCTCCTCTTTTCTCCTCCTCTCCTTTCTCCTGTCCTTTCTTCTCTCCTTTCTCTTCTCCTTTCTTCTCTCCTTTCTCCTATCCCTCTTTCACCTCTCCTTTCTTCTCTCCTTTCTCCTCTCCTTCCTCCTCTCCTATCTTCTCCTCTCCTTTCTCCTCTCATTTCTTCTCTCTTTTCTCCTATCCCTCTTTCACCTCTCCTTTCTTCTATCCCCCCTTCTCTCCTCTCTCCTCTCCTTTCACCTCTCCTTCCTCCTATCCCTCTTTCACCTCTCCTTTCTTCTATCCCCCCTTCTCTCCTCTCTCCTCTCATTTCACCTCTCCTTCCTCTTCTCCTATCTTCTCTCCTTCCTCCTCCTTTCCTTTCCTTCTTCGTCTCCTTCCTCTTCTTCTTCCTCTCCTTCCTCTTCCTCTCCTTCCTCCTCTCCCCCCATTCGCCCCCTAACGCCTTCCATTCCTTCCCCAGGGCGGATCGTGCCAGCTGGAGGGCAAGTACGACGGCGAGGACTTCCAGGCGCTGCTCTCGGCCATGCAGGTCCTCGGGTTCTCGACGCAGGAGCAGGACACCATCTTCAGGATCCTGGCGGCAGGTACGAAGGGGATAGGATTTTTTTTTTTTTTTTTTTTTTTTTTTTTTGGGGGGGGGGGGGTTAAAGGGTGGGTGGGTGGGGGTGTTTAAAAGGGAGGGGTGGGGTTGAGGGGGTTAGGTGGTGTTTAAAAAGGGGGGGAAGGGTGGTTGTTGATAATTGTGGTGTTTGTTATGTGTTTGTTTGTTTTGTTATTTTTTTTTGTTGTAGGTATGGTTACTGTTATTGTTGTTACTGATATTACAATTACTTTATTTTTTTGGACAAAGGAAATTTAGGGAAACCGACGCTAATATCTGTCCGTGATCACACCATTATATCATTTTCTAATCGAATTATTCTCCCATTTACCTCCCCCTCCCTTTTATCTCTTCTCCCCCTCCTCCTCCTCTTCTTCCTTTCCCTCCTCCTCCTCCTCCTCCTCCTCCTCCTCCTCCTCCTCCTCCTCCTCCTCCTCCTCCTCCTCCTCCTCCTCCTCCTCCCCCATCTCCCCCCCCATCCTCCCCCCCCATCTTCCCCCCCCATCTTCCCCTCCCGCAGTGCTCCACCTGGGCAACGTGTACTTCCACCGCAAGCAACTCCGCCACGGCCAGGAGGGCGTGGAGATCGGCAGCGAGGCGGAGATCAAGTGGGCGTCGCACCTCCTGCAGATAGACGCCGAGGGGATCAAGAGGGCGCTCACGACGAAGATCACGGTAAGGGGGGGTGGGGAGGGTGCGGGGGGGATGATGATGATGGTGGGGGGTGGGTGGGTGGTGGTGGGTGTGGGTGGGTTGTGGGGGTAGTGAGGGGTGGGGTAGTGGGGAGGTTCGTTTGGGTGGATCCCTCTCTCACTCCCTCACCCATTCACTCCCTCGATCCGGTGTTCTTTCTCTCTTTTTTGGGGTCATCTTCAGATTTTTTGTCTTCTATTTTTGTCTTTTTTCTCTCTCTATCTTTCTTCTCCATTCACTCTCTCTCCCTCTCTCTCTCTCTCTCTCTCTCTCTCTCTCTCTCTCTCTCTCTCTCTCTCTCTCTCTCTCTCTCTCTCTCTCTGTATATATATATATATATATATATATATATATATATATATATATATATATATATATATATGTATATATATATATATATATATATATATATATATATATATATGTATATATGTATATATATAAATGTAGATATACATATATTTATGTTTATATTTATATTATATTTATATTTATGTTTATAATCTCCATATATACTTTTCTCCTTATTTCTTAATTTCATCTGTTATCATTTTCATTGTGGCCTTTTATTTAACTTTTCGCACTAATTTGTGTCCCACTGTGTTGTCACCGCAATTCACAATCTTCCTTTTTTCATTCGCTTTTATGCACCAGTTTTGTCTATGCTTACTTTTTTATTTCTTTTTTTTTTCTTTTCTTTTCCTTCTTTTGATTTTTTAAGAGTCATTTTTGTTACCGTAGTTTACTTTTTTTTCTTTCTTCTTCTTCTTCTTCTTCTTCTTCTTCTTCTTCTTCTTCTTCTTCTTCTTCTTCATTTTCATCTTTTCACAGACTATTTTGCGGCATATTTCTCTCTTTTTTTCTTTTGCTTTGGTATTTCCACCTTTTCACTGACTGTATTTTGCGGAAATTTCCTTTTTTCTCTCTCTGGGAATTCCACCTTTTCACTGACTGTATTTTGTGCATTTTCTTTTTTCTCTCTCTGGGATTTCCACCTTTTCACTGACTGTATTTTGCGGAAATTTCCTTTTTTTCTCTCTGGGATTTCCACCTTTTCACTGACTGTATTTTGCGGAAATTTCCTTTTTTCTCTCTCTGGGATTTCCACCTTTTCACTGACTGTATTTGCATGGCTACTAACTCCCCTTTGCATTGTATTCGTGAAAGTGTACCGTTGAAGTATTAGTACATGCATAGTACCTGTGTCATGCACCATATCTGTACCGTAGTACCGTAGTGTCTGTTATTACATGTGAAATTAAACAGATTTTTTATTCTTCATCACAGAAAAAAAGGAAGAGAAAAATATTTTAGTTCAATAAGCTTTCCTAATTTCCAACTTTCCTCCCTCCCCCTCCCCCTCTTTACCACACTAAAGCCAAAAAAAGACTAAATTTCGCTATAACAATGTAGCGTCGTTGGACATCATTGATTTAACTCCTTTTATTTATATGGCTAAGGAAGTGCTTATTTAATCTCATGTTAGAC